TCTCTCTCTCTCTCTCTCTCTCTCTCTCTCTCTCTCTCTCTCTCTCTTTCTATTTCTGCCTTTGTCTCTATGTCTGCTCTCTCTTTTCATCTCTATCTCTGCTTTTTACTCAACTATTTTTATGACAGTCAGCAGTCGGTATCAGGAAGCTAAAATTGGAGCATATTCTTTCAGTTCGGTCGTGACGTCACTGAGAGATTTAAGGCATGCTTATGCAGAGTTTCCTTTTATTCTCCCTCATTCCCATTTGTGCATTTTATTTAGCTTTTGCCAGCCAAAAGCCAAATAACACTTCTTCGTTTCCCCTAGACTATAATCTCCACTGACTGCTATACAGGTAGCAAGACTGGCATGCCTGCATGTCTTTGTTATATCAGATTTTAGAAGATGGTGGTTCAGATAGCGGTGAGGTGAGAATTTGCAGATGCAGTAGCTCCAGTGCTGAGTGTCCTCAAGGCAAGTTGGCTGTTAAAGCCCTGAATATAAACCGGTGGGGAGCATGTTAACATTTGAAGCTGTTTTTACACAGTATATGCAGGGCTGTGTATAACACTGAGCATGATGGGTCTATAGGCTGAGAACGTTTATTTTACAAAGAGTCTATATCAAGGAGTAACAGTTAAATAGAAATCTATATAATGGAGGAGATGTTGTATATTTTTCTATATATAGCACCTGAAGATATTTTGTTGTAGTACTGATATAAGTGTGGGTTTAATAAACAACGTATAAAAAACTTCTATATGTACATAAATATATATATCACATACCAATATTTCAAATGATGGATCAGTTATAAGTGGAGGCGGCAGCATAGAAAGAGTGCACCTAATACTGTAATGCATGAAAATATGTTTACATTATGTAATCTGTGTGACACAAACTCTCTAATGACCTGATAAACACAGTTGGGAGTTTTTTATTTTAGGCTCAGTTTTGACCTGTTGTCTCTCCATTTTGATTGATCTTTCATTTGATTATCAGGATCATAACGTCGCACCGATTCACGTCTTCATCTTTGGGTTTCGTGCTCGTCGTTAGTTTATAAAAGCATGAGACGGGTCATTTTTGACTGACTTCTTCGTTAAGTTGAGGTCAGAGCTGATGCAAACCAAGAAAGTATTATGTTTCTTATACTTGAAAACTCAATCGAACCCCTTTCAGAAAATGTGATCGGCTTATTTGATCAGTCTATATTTTGCATGACCTTACCACATTCACTGTGGTTTGAGAGATTGTGTAGATTATTACAAGCCTGCATCGATTAACATGAAGCCATGGGAAGTGACTTTGATTGGAGCAAGTTGTGTTTGTCCCACCATATTTAATTTGTTACCAAGACCTTGACTGTTACTCGCTCACCACAGATGAGATTCAGATTAACACAGGTGATGCAAACCAAACTGAAATGTACTGTGTGCGTCTCTGACTTCCGCTTTTTCCTCACATCTCAGTTCTCTTCATCGTTGCATAACAGTTTTTTTGTGTAAATATGTAAAACACTAAATAGTATAACAGAGTGACATTGTCTTTTATTTAGACAAAATATCTATTTCAAATGTAGCCACTGTGACTAGACCAAAGCAACGTAACACATTTTCTTTTTTTGTGGCATTTTTCTCATCCTTTTGTGTGCATTTTTTTTTTATGTTTACTTACATTGTGTCTTCAGTAATTCATAAAGTATGTAGTTGTCCATGTATATTTTTATGTGTACATTTCTTGTACAAATGACTGTGTTTTTAATTAAAGAACAAGTTGTCACACCTTACAGTTACTGTTGATTTAACAGCTTTTTTACCTGAAACACATCAACTGTGAGCAAAGTATACTGAATGAATGTTTATTGCAGTCAATTCAAATACCTGAAGCACTTTGTAATAACTCAAAGGCATAGACACGCTCAATTTCATCTTTAAATTTAATTGCCTGTCTGAATTTAAACATTTTAAACCTTGAGCTTTCTGACTTTCTTTCATTCATCAATGTTTCTTTTATTTCCCCCACTGGCCATCTGCAGAAGTAAGGCACTACGCACACTGATTCCAGTTACCTTGCTGCCCATATCTCCTCTACCCTACTTTGATTTAAACTGTGCCACTGGCCTTCATGTCCTGCATTTCTCATTGACGTGTTTTTCCAACTCCTCCACATGTCTGCATAAGCTCAGGCCACAGCGTGGTGTAATTAAGCCTCTAAAGTGGCAGATTGCTCCAGAGCACAAGCACTTCTGCCAGAAAAATGCAGCACAAAAATACTGAGCAGCAATTTGTAATAATCCCCCCAGACATCCACTAAACCCAAACTATCAGTTTTGACATAATACAGGGGTTTAATCTGGGTATAAATCTCTAAATCTCATAACACAGGCTGGGGTAATCTCCCTCTGGCAGGCCTGCGGGGCTGCAGGACTGAGATGCTCCAACTGAAAAGTGCAGACCACTGGCTCCACAATCAGCAGAGGTCATGTTAAGTTTGCCTTGTGTCAAACAGTGGCACAACTTTAACCAAGGAGGAGTTCATGAACCACATACTTACTTTTTTTCTAGTTAATGTGCAATGTATGCGTTTAGTAAAAACAAAGCAAAAAAGTAGAAAAGGTCATCTATAACAATGTTAATCTGGATAAATGAACTGTTTCAACATGTCCACCTTTCTCTTCGACATATTCACTGTCATAACTCTGCCTTACAGAGGACAAATGCTTCTGTGCATCCATTCCTCTCCACTATGACCGGAGATCTATACGTCCCATATCCTCTCTTCTGGAGTGAACCCTTTAGTTTATTCACTCACGCAGGAGTTGCAGGTTTTGGTGTCCTTCATGCCTGAACTGCAGTCTAACTGTGAGGCACACAAAGGTTAGTCTGCAGGTCTCTTGGGGCTGGTGGGGGTTGTAGGGACCTTGGAGACCTTGACCACAAAAACCATCATGTCTTTGGCCTTGTTGCTGAACGCTCTGCGAATTACATCCACCGCGTGCTGATGAGTCACTCCCTGCAGACTCTCGCCATCCACAGACAACACCTCATACCCTGCCTGCAAATACAAACACAGGATAAACAGCTTAACATGCAAGAACTCATTCTAAACAAAGAATAGGATTGATTATTATTCATATGTCATGATTACGTGTATCTGTGTATGTTTTCCTTCCCATCCGTATCTTTATTTTCTGAAGCAAACTCCCTTATACACAGTTCCCATAAATCTGCACTGATTGTGTCCCTTGGCGGGAACCTGATTTATGCCAGAGAGAATTGGGGCTCTCCCGTTAGTTTCATATATTCACACTGAAGGCCGTCACTAGTGCACATATAAAGTTTCCCCTTCAGCACAAGGTTGTTGAAAAAAAGAACATACACTGAGACAACCACACACACACACACACACACACACACACACAGCTGGGACCGCTTTCTCGTAGTTTCCTGCAGGATGCGAGCAGAGAGTGGCAAAACTTTGGAGGCCTGAGGAGAGGAACTTCCTCTGATGTCATCAGCATTTGACGAGGATGCACCTGCCTCATGTGCTCAACTTCAATGAAGGTTAGCAACACATAACACAAGGCCATTGTTGTATTTCCACCAATCACGTCTTTTCCCTTTCCCTTTTCCTTTCCAGTGATTAGACACAAAGAGATTTGATCTATTATAGGTCAAACATATTTGTATAGGGGGCGGTTAGACTTGTGCTGCCCCGTGTTTGCCCAGACAGGTTTTCTTACAGTTCATCACACAGTCTGGTGTTCACCAAAAACCTTATAGCCTTTCGTGAGGACAGTATAAAAAGATTTAGCTCCATTTAACCAGACAGGAGATTAAAAGTGCTTTTTTTTCATTTTTGAAAAGTAATTTATTTGAATTAAATAGATCCCAACCTAATCTGCCCCATCCTCTTTACAGCCATTTATGGAGCGCATTTATGAGGTTCCTCTTTTCTAGCCAATGGACGTCACAATCCAAAAATAACACGGCCTGTAAAAATGACTACAGCTTGCATGACAAGATCAGTGAATTGTTCACAATGTGGTTTACCAGGCCATTACAAATATATTCAACTAGATTATTTACCTCAGGAGAGGAGTGTATTATCTATTGTAATGGAAATCTCGAAAGATAAATAGACATCTATCCATACACATCTCATTGTGGAGGATAAAAGATATTACTAAATCTACCAAAATGGATATTCTCTAATTTACCTCTAATGGCATCGAGCCAAACCTCTGCTCAGGTCTGTCCCTGAAACACATTTTATAATGTGATAAACCAACCCTTTCCACACACAAGCCTACATGGAAAAGGCATGTTGCACTATTTACTACGCCCTCTTACACTGCTAGTTAAATGCAGTCATATGACAAACATATACCTTTAGTGAGGTGTGTGAGGACTTTTTGCTGATTGTGACTGTTTCATCCCTGATAAATTAAGCCTCAGTCAGTTAAAAATGTTTTCAATTTGAGGAGCGCAGCAAGAAGAGTGGTTATACTGGAACAGAGAGGCCGAGATGACTGGTTATATTATGCTTTGAGAAGATAAACCCGGAGCATATCGCATATGAGTTTTTGAGTTTTGTCTCTTTTCATGTTAATTCTTGTGAGGCCACACTGAGAAAGGCAATTGTCTATTTATATAATTGATTATCAGTTGTATGCACAGAATGCAGAGTGGTTGGTTTGGACAGAAGGGGTCTTGCCGTATTACTCTGAAATTTGGTTCAGTCATTGATGGTTCCCAGAGGGTGAAATGCTTCAACAATTATCGGATAGATTGCCATGAATTTCCATATTGACATTCATGTTGCCCTCAGGATGAATTGTGATAACGTTGGTGATGATACTGATGATTACGCTCAGCTCAAAGTACCTGTGTGACTAAGTACAGCCCCACAGACCTGTTAGCGTGGCTGTAGACTCAGTCTTGTTTCAATCTGTCTCTCTGTGTCACGTTAATGTTTTTACACATCCCAATATCCTGCTTTATTTTCCATACCTGCCATTCCTTCCACTCTGTTCTTACTGATTTCATGCTTTCTCTTAGTTGTTTACATCTTCTCTTTTTATATTCTCCTCGCTTCTTCCAAGATTGGGTGCTTACCATGTGTCTTTGTATTGTGTGACTGCAGGCACTGAAGAGGGAAGTTCTTTGAATTTGAAAGTCTGAGAAGATACTGGATCTCCCCTATGTTTGACGCTCTAATCAGGTATTAGACCTGGGTATTGGTAACTAGCTGCTAGGAAACACACTTCTATTCAAGTACCTTAATGCACGTGTTGTTTGTCTCTAGTCCAAAATTTGCCTGTGGTTTAACTGTAGTGAATGAGTGTGTGTATCAGGTGTGTTTAAGTGAACCAGGCCAAGATCACAGATGACTGTTAAGTTACTGTGCAGGCAGTATATTACCAATACATTAGCAGACCATCACCTGGTGTACCTCATCAATAATGGAGGCGATTGGCTACTTGAGATGCCTCTCCGCTATTTTCGTCTCCATGCCTCATTGCACACCTTCAACCTCTCCGTCATAGACATGCGTACTTATAGCACCAACAACTCAACCACAGGACAGAGGTCTGACAGGTTCTTACAATACACAACAACCAAGATGGACATTAACGTGCTGTTAAGAGGGAATGTTTAACACTTATGGTGAAAAGATGCATTATTATGCATTATTATGTTTAATGTGTTTATCACCATTTGCAGTGCAAAGAATAATAATCATAATTTTTCATTTTTTAAATCCTTTGTCATTAACCTGACACCCATTTTTGTGATATATGGAGGTGTGTCTTCCTGTCTCTGCCATATTTAACTCACCTTGAGAGCCTCATTCGTAGATGCAGCTCCTCCTGGGAAGACTTTCTCAATCTTTATCATGGGCTGCACTCTAGACTCCATACCTCCAGAGATACTAATACCTGTAAACACACAGAGAAATACTACATTCATAAACTGAGGGATTGCTTGACAGTATTATATTCAAACTAGTCTAATAGTGTGTGTGTGTGTGTGTGTGTGCGTGTGTGTGTGTGTGTGTGTGTGTGTGTGTGTGTGTGTGTGTGTGTGT